AACGCGCCGCACCTGGCCAACGCGGGTGTTTGCTTCATCACTGGAGGAAACGGATAAGGACATGTGGATGGGGAAACGACGAGTTCTTGGCATGGAGACTGAGGACAGACGCGCGTGAAGTTGTCCAGTTTCACCCAGGAGGCTGTGACAGCAAGGACTAAAATCCACAGTTGTCACTCACCACCACGACTCTCAGACTCGATTGTCATCTCATGTCCCCAATTGCCGTGTGCTGGCACTTGCCGTGTGCTCGCGCCGGCCGGGTGGCCACCATTGCTGCCCTGGCTCACTGGCCTGCTCAGTCACACGCTTCATCCATAGCTGGAGTCGGAAGACGAGTGACCTCTTTGCCTGCCGAGTGAAAGGTCACATTTGGACATGCGCATTTGGGAGCCCTGGCACCTGGCACAGGTTTCTGTTTCCTAAGGGGATACTGAAAAAATAAAACATCTATACTATGAAGACTGTATGTCTTCAGCCCGGAGCCAGACCTTTGCCTATTCTACATCCCCACAAAGACATCCAACAGACATACCAAATGTAAATATCCAAAACTGACTTCCAGATGTTAAGTGCAAGAAGCAAGAACTATGGACATATTTTGTGATTCCACTCCTATAAAAGTAAATAACAGGCAACACTAAACTATATGATTAAAAGATACATATATAGCATAATAAAACTATAGAGAAAAATGAGGAATAGATGATCAAAAATACAGAGGTTTCCCCTTGGCAGAGGGATGGGACGGGGGACACCCCCAGGAGCACTGGAGGATGCTGGCAGTGTTCTCTTCAGTGACTTGGGGGTGTTTCTTTAGCGTTACACTTGATAATAACTTATTAAATGATGCACATATATTGTGTAATCCTTTCTATATATGTTACCTTGCAACATAAAAAGAGGGAAAATAGTAATAAATAACATCAGTTTGTGTTGAACACTTCTCGAAACTCACAGACCCTGAAAATGACTAATCAGTCTGTATAGTTTTCTGTTTTTCAGAATATCTTACAAAAGGAATTATATACATCTGTAGCCTTTGGAATTTGGCTTCTTTTGCAGAAGGGAATACATATAGGACTTCTGAAAGTCCAATGTACCCTTTCCTAACTATGGCGATAGATACATGGTTTATCACTTATTCCTTAACTGTAGACTTACATTTTCTACATCTGTACATACCTATAATATACTTTATAGGCCGGGCACAGTGGTTCATGCCTGTAATCCTAGCACTCTGGGAGGCTGAGGCGGGAGGCCTGAGGTCAGGAAGTCGACACCAGCCTGAGCAAGAGTGAGACCCCAACTCTACTAAAAATAGAAAAAAATTAGCTGGCCAACTAAAAGTAGAAACAAACAAACAAAAAATCCAGCGAGGTGGTGAGTGCCTGTAGTCCAAGATACTCTAGAGGCGGAGGCAGAGAGGTCCTCTGAGCCTAGGAGTTTGAGGTTGCTGTGAGCTAGGCTGATGCCATGGCATTCTAGTCTGGTAAACAGAGTGAGACTCTGTCTCAAAACAAAAAATAGTCTATAGATATAATGTCATCGAATTTCATATATCTTGCTACGCGATGTTTGTTAAATAGCAAATTCTATGTCTAAGAACACTCTGCATATTTCTACTGCAGAAAAAGTATTCCATTGTATGCATAAATCGCAAATTACTGATCCGGTCCTATGACAGTGGAAATTCATGCTGTTTCCCATACCTGGAATTGGATGATTACCAGAACACTACTCATTACCCCTGTAATGTAACTGGACAACACTTCATAGGCATCTGTCCTCAATCTCCATGCCACGAACTCCTTACCCCTTGTTGCAAAGTAAAGGAGCACTGAGAGGGGGGGTGAAAAAAAAATTTATGGAAAGAGATAGCTGAAAGTCATTGAGAAGAAGTTAGAAAAAACAGCCACATAAGCTCAAGGAAAGTTGAGGAAGTAGTAAAGATAACGCAAAAATCAGTAAGCCAGGAAACAAGTATGCAATTTAAAAAGATCAACAAACCAGAAGTTGGTTGTTTTCCAAAAGAATGAAATTGGCAAAGCCCTGGTGAGACTGATCAAGAAAACAAAACAAGGAAGGGGACCGATATAGGCAAAGCAAAGGTAGAAATAAGCATAAGTGACACAGACATCAAAAAACAGTGAGGATCCTACGGGGGAGCTGGATATCCGCACACTGTCTCTGCAGGAGCAGACAGAGAATGCTTAGTAACTGCAGGGGGAAGACGGTCGCTTCACAACAGAGTGATCTGAAACAGCGCCCTGACCACATGGTCACAGTGAACATCACCAGTCGTGGGACAAACTGACAGGAAGAGTCTCCCGATGTCCTGCACTGAGATGGATGGCACACAGGAGGCTTGCAAACGCTGCCAGCGTTCGGCTTCTTGCTCTGTGTGGTGTGGCCGGGACTTGGACACCGCACAACCACGGGGCACGGTTCTCGCTGCAGTCGGCCACAGTGCACTCTGGAATCCCGCGGGTGTAGCTCGCACGGCCACCCCGGCAGCTCACGCGAACGCGCCGCACCTGGCCAACGCGGGTGTTTGCTTCATCACTGGAGGAAACGGATAAGGACATGTGGATGGGGAAACGACGAGTTCTTGGCATGGAGATAGACAGCAGCGCGTGAAGTTGTCCAGTTTCACCCAGGAGGCTGTGACAGCAAGGACTAAAATCCACAGTTGTCACTCACCACCACGACTCTCAGACTCGATTGTCATCTCATGTCCCCAATTGCCGTGTGCTGGCACTTGCCGTGTGCTCCGCCACAGCCCGGGTGGCCACCATTGCTGCCCCTGGCTCACTGGCCTGCTCAGTCAACGCCTTCACCATAGCTGGAGTCGGAAGACGAGGTGACTCTTCTGCCTGCCGAGTGAAAGGTCACATTTGGACATGCGCATTTGGGAGCCCTGGCACCTGGCACAGGTGGGACTTTGTTCGGGGCTGTGCCGCTGCAGCTGCATCTCGGGCAGGCATGCAGCTCAGCAAATCTCCAGAGCCCCCTCTGAGCTGAGGAGCCCAGGGCGCAGGGCGGGGCCCAGGGCTCTCCAGGCCACCCCAATTCCCTTGGGGGAGGGCCGCTGCAGGGAAGGGCAAAAAGGAGGGACTGAGTGGAGGGAGGTTCCACCGTCTCTGTACTCTGGGCCCAGATGGATGGCTCTAATGTGAGCCTCATTCTGTCACTCACCTCCCCTAGAGATGGAAGTGTCAGCCCCACCCATGGCCTGTTGGGTACAGGACACAGCAGCATCTTCCCGCAGTACGTGCTCTGCATGTGGAACAGAGAGCCTGTGCTCACAGCAGGGAGTCGGGACAGGCAAATAGTCACCACGGGTTGTGTTCATGCCCTCCACACCTGCTTCAACCTGCTGCCCCTTCCTGCCCTTGCCGACCACAGCCTCACGCCTCCTGGGACAGTGCCTGGTGCTGGAATTCTCTTCCCATCAGAACTGGCCTAGATGCCTCCGGCGTCAGAATCCCAAGTTGGAAAATCTCTGCCTCACGTCTGCACCCAGACGCCACCCCGCTGTTACCCTGCTAAGAACCATCACTGGGTAGGGTCGAAGGTTCAGCCTGCAAAATCAAGCCCATCTTCTCAAGGGAGGGTTTGAAGCAGATGGTTTAAGTCCCCACTCATGTTTCTTTCTGGCTTTGAGGTCTGTGATTGTCCCACCACACGCGTGAGGTCCCTGTCCTGAGCTCATGCCACCGGCACGGAAGGGAGGCAGAGTGAGAATATGGGCAGGGTGGTGCCACGCCCTGAGCAGTTTTCCAAGTGCTGTCCCTCTTCCCTACTTTCCATCCTCACGCGCCATCCTACCGTGACTCGGTCAACTCACACGGGCAGTCTCCACGGGAGCCCTTTGCCTCACAGGGAAGGCACGTCCCACCTACTGTGTCGTAGCCAGCCTTCACGCTATCATCCACCCACACGCACAGGACTTTTGAGACGTCATATTTGTCGCACAGAGGATGCAGGGCCTACTCCGGGGACTCCAGCATCTGAGAGCCCTGGCGCCCGGCACTGGGCTTGGCCACTTCCACTTCCACCCACTCTGGGCGCTCCTGTGTGTTTTCCGCACTTGAAGAACACCTCTCGTGAAAGGTAGACCCCACCTTGCTTCGACTCCTTGGATCCTTGAGGATGCTGGCCCACTGCCCGCTCCTGAATCAGCTCTTTCTCCTCCTGGGAGTCATGGCCGATGAGATTCACAAGCACACAGAAAGACACACAACACACACACAGACGGATCCCTCCCTGCACGCTCACCCGGATGGTATCTGCACTTGTCCCTGCTTGTCTGGGAAACCCCAGTCTCTGGACGATGGGAGCTGCAGAACTGCACTCACCTCACTCACATCAATGTGTCCTGCGAGTGTCAGGCGGCCGCCCGGGACCTGGCCGAAGAGGAGGCGACCCCAGCTGTCAGGGAGGGTGAGGTCACAACAGGGAGCTCAGACGGAATCTCATGTGCTCGGAGGCAGTCTGGAAGATTGAGCTGGACACGGAAAATCACGTCCAGCCAAGTCCTGTGCATGGGTGGCGAAACGGTGTCTGATGGGACATCCAAGAACATTCAGACCTAGCATGCACACTCGCCTGGAAAACTAACTGGCCTTGTCCAAGTGGAGGCCGCGGAGCCCGAGGCAGCAGAGCGCACTCAGTCCCCCACCTGCAGCCCGGAGACCTACCTCCCTTCTCCCCTGCTCCTGCAGCTCCCCTTTCGCTCCACCCTCCACTGCAAGTATGGCGGAGAACTCCCGGTTTGGTAAGCGGTGTCAAAGGTGAGGCTACAGAGGACTGAGGATGATGCTCGGGTTCCTGGCCGAGCTGTCGTGTACGTGGTGGCACCAGAGGAGAGCGTGACTCCAGAAAGAGACCGGGGCCCCGGCGGGGAGGAGCTCAACCGTGCTCTTAACACCTGCCTGCAATGAACCGTCTGCGGGAAGGCCTAGGGGCATGAAGCCGATGGGAGAGACCAAGGATGCTCGTGACAGAAAAGAAGGGCGAGGGGGGAGAACCAGGACAGCGAACCATCGAGGAAGGCAAAGAGGGGTGGGATCTCTGGCAGGAGGTCAATTAGTTCCTGCTGAAAGGGAGGGGGAGGAGCGGCACACAGTGGGAACCTTGAGACACCCAAATCGGAGGACACTGGGAGGGACCATGAACAGGGCCTGCTGATGAGGCTGGTCAGGGGCCCTACAGAGGCTAGACCCAGGGTGCTATGGTGAGCCTGAGAGCAGGTATGATACCCAGATCCCGGCCCAGAGGCCCCACAGGGAGAGGGCCGAGCACAGAGTGCCAGGGTACGGTGCTTTAAATGCTCCAAAATGTAGCCACTGCCCATGCCCCTCCCCTCCCCTCCAGTGCAACGCCTCCTCCCCCTCCTGGAAGAGGGCAGAACACAGAATTTGAGAATATAAGAGCTATATTATTTGGATAATTCTGTAAACTGGGGTAAGGAGGGGGCAAGAGCAGGGGGCGAGAAGTAGCCATAGCTAGAAAAGGAGGGAACCAGCTTGGGCATAGCTCCTGGGCTCCAAAGGTACCAGTGCTTATCTTGTAGGAAGAGGCTGGGTTCAACCTGTCAAACAGAGCACATTTAGGGTGAGAGCATGAGTCAGGGCCGGCCCACAGTTCCCCGAAGCCACCAACTTTGCGGGAAGAGCAATAGTACGTGTAACACTCACTCACTGACTTCAAAGGCCTGGATCTTGTCAGCGAGGCACTGCATGTCCACTGGAATAGGGAGGCATTACCGGGCACTTCAGACAGAGGGATACACAGACTCACTCCCCTGTCCCCCAAGTATCTGCCCAGCCCTGCAACCGGAAACCTCAGCAGCCCCTGTCCAGGCAGCCCTGGGACCCACTCACGCCCGCCCCCCCCACACCTGAATTAAATGTGGGAAGGTCTTCTAAATGGAAACAAAATGTAACACTGCTTCTCAAATGCTGGGGCATACCACAGCCATTCAGAACGTGTTAAAAGGAAAAACAAGCAAAGAAACACCACCACCCGTACGAGCCATACCAAGCAGGGAAAGGGGGAAATAAAAGAGGTGGCACTAAATGTGATAAAGAAAGGAGCTATGTGGGATTCCTTGGCAAAGTGTACACGGAGCTCAGCCGATACATTTCTACCCATGCACATCCCTGGTTATAAGTGCACAGAAGGCTCCAGTGCCAGGCCCGCTTGGTTCTTCTCCCCAAGGGAGAAGATGCCCTCCAGTGATGCCTCCAGAACCTACAGCCCATCCCTGCCCTGTGTTCCCAGCATCTGCAGGAAGATATCGTGGACTGTCCCAGCCCGTTCCCTGGCCGCAGTGAGGGGTTTATCATACCTAGTTGCGCTTTAAGGTCGTCTCTCTCTCTCTGCAGCTCGGCACACTAGCCCAGAGAACTCAGGAGGAAGAGAAATGATCAGTGTATTCTGGCCTCCTCTCTCCTCATCCTCCCTCTCACCCGTGGGCTGCACATGCCCCACCGCCCACAGCACAGTGGCCAGACTGGCAAGGAATCTTCAGTGGAAAGGAAGAGCCCTGTCTCTAGTCGGTGTGGGATGGGAGGAGGAGGAGAACGACACAGAAGTCACTTTAACCTGGACACGGTTCCCACCATCCAGATAGGACAATGGTTTCTAGGAGCCAGACCAGGCATTACCCGAGAACAGCCCTGTACTCCCGGTGGCTGCTGCCTTTCCCGTCTTGGGTCATGGACGGGTGGCTCCTGGTCACCTGAAAGACAACACAGAATCCAGCTTCCAAGTCTCACAGCCTGGAGGAGGACAGGGCATGCAGGGGTCTAAAGTGAGGCACCATCACCCTCTGCTGGCAGCAAGTGGCTCCTGCTCGGCCCAGCAGCTGCAGCCTTGTCTCTGGGCCTGCCTTCCCTGTTCCTGTTCCCCAGTGTCAGGCCATCTGTGCCTGTGGCCCCCTAGCATTGTGGCTGTGGGTTGGACGCTAGCACAGCTGCAGCCACAGCCGGCCCTGGGAAGAGGAAAGGGGTTGAACAAGACTTACCTTAAAAGGTCTGCTGTGCTGGGAGTCTACCTCTGTAGTCAGAATTTTGGGTGCTGTTACAAATATCCCACACTCCAGCCATGTTGACACCCCGTTTCCTGTGGGAGAGCTGTCTGGGTAGGCACAGAAGCCTGGGAGGAAGGCTGAGCCCTGAGAAGTGACAGAGCCAGAGGATCCCCTCCTATATCCCTCTCCCCTTCACTCCTTCTAAACCCAAAAGACTCACTGGAGGGTGCAGTGCCTCTGGGAATGTCACCTCCCTCGCTCTAGGCTGAGGACTTTGAGTATCCTGGAAATTGGGGGGCTCTACTGTTGGGGTCACCAGTGCTGAATTCTCCATGATGCATGTGAAGGCAAGGTGGCCATGGCTTGGGTGTTGGAAGCTGAAAGAAAAATTTCTCGACCAGGCACAGTGGCTCACGTCTGTAATCCTAGCACTCTGGGAGTGTGAGGCAGGAGATCACTCAAGGTCAGGAGTTTGAGACCAGCCTGAGCAAGAGCCAGACCCCATCTCTACTAAAAATAGAAAGAAATTAATTGGCTAATGAAAAATATATAGAAAAAATTAGTCGGGCATGATGGAGCATGCCTGTAGTCCCAGCTACTCGGGAGGCTGAAGCAGGAGGATGGCTTGAGCCCAGTTGTTTGAGATTGCTGTGAGCTAGGCAGGTCAGCAGGCAGGGCTCAGCAAGGGAAAACAGGGGAATGCTGAGACAGTCCAACAACTTGCCAGGCAGGCTTGGAGAACATCTAGGAAGGAGGAGTCAGGAGGCTGATGAGTCTAGACACCCAAGCTTTGCAGCCCAAATTTTAAAGGGTCGTCTGATCCAAATCAGGTGCCAGCCCAGTTCCTCTCTGCAGAGGAGGCAGGAAACATGGAAAGGGTCAAGAACAGTGCCTGGCACGTACCCAGTGCTCTCTTAATGTGTGTCACTACTAAGATGGCCCCCATGGGGCATCCTAATGACTGTGGATTCAGAAGGACAGGCCCTGAGCAAAGGACAGAGTAAAGATGCCTGTGTCGGCAGTGTGGGCAGACAGGAAGACGATGTCATACTCACTTGGGCCTTTGAGCCTGGATCTCTATTTTGGTCATTATCATTTCTGGACACAGGTTGGGAATCCTTTGCCTTCCTCGCCCCAGATTTCTTCCCAGTGCTGCCGTGCTTGGAGTGTTTGGGTCCCAAGGACAGCAACGAGTAGCTCTTGGACCTCCCGAGCAGGGGAACAGCCAGGCGATTGGGGGAAGGTGGCTGGCTCCCAGGGAAGCTGGCTGAACA